GAAGGGCCAGGGATTTAGCTCAGTGGTTCTACTGCCTGCCTCTCAATCACAAAGTCCCAAGTTTGATCCCTGGACCAAAAAAAAAAAAGAGCTAAAGAGAGGTAAAGAACAGACTCATTCTAACCAGAGCATCCAGATTTTCTTGAGTTTTTTTTTTAATCTTAAGCATTTGATCTGTGGAGCCTGGAAAACACATTAAGATTCAGTGAAAAGGAGACATACTTTTGAGCTGAGGTCTGATTTTCCAATTGCTTTTCTTTCATTTTGAGTCTGGAAGGAGGTTTTTATATTGCTTCTCAGGTGTGGGGACTAGCCAGTGTGTAACACTTACAGAGAATGAAATAGGTTTTGAAAAAAAAAAGTAAATGGAATTTGTCTCCAAGATGCTGTTGGCTTTAAAAATCCTACTGAGGGTATCAGCTGTATGGCTTTTAGTGTTCAGTTCAAGCTCGCACAAGTCCTCTTCTTCTGCACCTTTGTCTTCTGCACAGTTCAGCTCCACTGATTCCCACTCACTTCCTCTGCTGCCTTCTCAAACCGTCCGGCCTCCCCAGCTCTTCCTGTTATCTCTGCTGGTCTGACACAGTGCCATCCTGCTCAGCAGTGGGCATTATTACATGGTGTTGACAGGAAAGGAAGCCAAGGTGCTGGAGAAGGGGCTGAGCGGGGGGCTGGGGTGGGCACCCTTTGCCAGCCGTCCCTGGGCGTGGATGGAGAACACAGCAGTGGGCCCCAGAAAGTCAGAAGGGCTTTCTAAAGCAGAGAACCAATCAGAAGGCATGAGGGAGAAATGAACACATCCGCCTACATCGAATATTCTAAACTCAGGATGACAAAAGATCCCATAAACAAAGTCAGAAGGCAGACTGCAGAGTGGACAAAGATATCTGCAGCACGTGAAACTGATGAAGGGGAAACATCCTGTAGGAAGCGTGCACTATAGTTAAATTATAAAAATGTAGGATATCCAACAGAAAAACATGTTGGAGTTTAAACAGGCATTTCACAGGGGACAAAAGGCAAACCTCCCCAAGATAAAATGATGACCAACTGACCTTACTTTAGTCAAAGGAGTACAACATAAAGCACTGCTAAACTATTTTTTTCCCATCAGTTTAGAAAACACTAGAATGACAGGTGATACCCAGCAAGGAAACAGACACACTGCACTATTTTGGGGAGGGGGTTTGAGACAGGGTCTTACTATGTAGTTGAGACTGACCTGGAACTCACTTTGTAGCCCAGGCTGGTCTTGAACTCACAGCGATCCTCTTGCCTCAGCCTCCCGAGTGCTATTACGGGCGTGCGCCAACACGCCTGGCCCACACTGCGCTATTACTGGGTGAGAAATACCGCTTGGTGGTGTCTGTCACACTTAGCATGTGTCACGCTCTCTGACCTGGCAGATCCACTTCTAGAAATCCAGCTGACAGACACCTGTGCACATGCAAAGAGGTACAGAGGAGCTTGCATTGTAGTTCTGCTGTATAATAGCAAAAAGTGGAGACAGCCTAAACGCTCATCAGTCAGGCATGAGTAAATGGCGCATCTCTCTGTGTGGCCTGTGTAAAGAATGAGGACCCACGTAAACTAACCTGCAAAGGTGTTCGCGATCTGTTAAAGGAAAAAAGCAAATGGGAAAAGCTTGTGCGTTACAGATGTAATCTGGGCCAGGGATTTGGCTCAGTGGTTCTGCTGCCTACCTTGCAAGTGCAAGAAGGGGCCTGGGTTCGATCCCCCATACCAAAAAAAAAAAAAAAAAAAAAAAAAAAAAAAAGGAGAGAGAAAGAAACGTAATCTTCAAAGCAAAGCTGAAAAGCAAGTCCTCAGCTGATAAGACATGAGGCTCTGTCTGCGCTCATACATCAATGCTATTGCAGGAATTGCAGGAATGGGCTTGTCTTTCAAAAGCACGAAGGAGGAGTGTGACATCCATGTAAACTCAAAGGAAACAGGATGGGCACATAGTGAACCGATAACAGCAGTTTAATCTGGGAAGTGGAAAGAGGTTTTGTGAATCTTTGTTTAGTTCTTTCTTTCGAAGCATAATTGAAGTTGGGTGGTTTAAATGCATGTGTTTTCAGTACTTTTCAGATGAGTTATCAAACATGTTATCCCTGCAGGGACTGGTGAGAACTGATCAATCTGTTGCGAGCCTATGTTGCTGGAGGCATTCCCTAGGGCGGTTCACCGTGTTGTTTCAGTGTTTGCTCTCAGCCTCCTGCAGTAGATGTTACTATTGGAACAGCATCGCAGGTGAGGAACATGGAATGTACTGAGCTCATCTGAGTTACACACTGACAGGCTGCTCGTGGCAAATTGAAACTAGGGTGTTGTCAACCTAGGTGACACCCAGAGTGTTATCTGGGTGAGGTTTAAGGCCCCTCACTTTGAATCCACCTTGAAACATATTGGTAGTCCTTTAAAACAGTCAGCTGGGTTTGGTGGCCCACACCCGTAATCCCAGCTACTCAGGAGGCTGAGGCAGGAGGGTAAGTGTAAATCCAGCCTGGAAGACTTAGCCAGACTCAGCTTCTTTTTTTTTGGAGACAAGAGTCTCACTGTGTTCAGGCTGATCTTAAAGTCACTGTGTTCTGGCCTCAGAACTCATGGTTATCCTCTTGCCCAGAGTGCATGTGCCTCCGTGCTGGCCAAGACTCCTATTACAAAATAAAATTTTAAAAGGACAGGGGGTGGGGCCGGGGATTTAACTCAGTGGTTCCAAGGTCCCAAGTTCGATCCCTGGTACCCCTCCAAAAAAGGACAGGGGGTGTAGCTCAATGATAGAGTGCTTGTCATGAGTGACCCCCCAATGTCAAGCCCAAGCATTGCAAAAGCAAACAAACAGCTCAGCTGTAGAGAACTGGCTTAGCATATACAAAGCCCTGGGTTACATCACCAACACCACAACAAAAAGAGGGACAGAAAGAAGAAAGGGAGGGAGGGAGAGAGGGAGGAACAGAGAGATGGAGGGAGGGATGGAGGAAAAGAGGGAGGGAGGCAGGGTAGAAGACGAAGGGAAGGGAAGGGGGGAGGGGGAGGGGAAAGGCCCTGGGTCTCCCGTGGCCTTCCCTGGCTGGTCAAGTTCCCCTGCTTTTGGCTTCAGGTGTCCTGCCTTGATAGGGTCGTCCTCCTCCAGCCAGAGAAGTGAGGTGAGGGTAGGTTGAGGGGAACTGAAGTCCCAAGCTCTAGAAGGAACTTTACCTCCCACCCACTTAACTCTGGGTAAGCAAAACCAAGTGGCAGCTCCAGTGTCAACTGCCCACATTCTCTATACTTTCAACTCTTTCTTCCTCTCTCTCTCTCTCTCTCTCTCCCTTTCCTTCCTTCCTTCCTCTCTCTCTCCCTCTCTCCCTCACTCCCTTCCACACGCTCTTACTAAGTTGCCCAGATTGGCCTTCAACTTGTGGTCTTCCTGCCTCAGCCTCCTGAGTCTGGGATTACTGGTACATGCCACTATACTCCTTTCAACTCCTTTCATCTCTTGTCTCTCGCAGCACACCTCCACAGCTAGGAATCCCAGAACACCTTTCCATGAAGCTGGCATCCTGCCCAGGACTCTGGCGATGGCTGCAGGTCTCTGCAGTCTAAACCTCTTTCCAAGTTTGTGCCTGAGGTGTCCGTCTTCTGTGCTGAAGAAAAAGGAGATGAGTCTGAGCAGGATCAGAGCTGCCAGGAGGAGCTAGAACCAGGGGAGTAGGTGCCATCTGAGAAGAGGTGAGGAAGAGAGCCAGAAGGTGATGGCCTGAGTCAGTATAAAGCAAAGCAGCACTTCCTGGAGCTGCAAAATAATTCTGAGAAATAATATAAAACATAGTGCTTAGGTGTGCGTGTGTGCGCGCGTGTGTACAGTGGTATCTCCCAAGTCCTGTTGACTTTATTCAACTATCAGGTCACCTGTCCTCCCCTTTAGATCTCCCCACCCAGGTGGGGGCACTGCCTGATGGAGGTCCCTCCACACTGCCCCCAGACCAGATCTGCTTCCTAGCAAGGGAAGCTTTCCTCAGCTCAGAACACAGGGAGCGGAGGAAATCCTTGGAGGCTCCAGATCCTGGCCTTTAAACTTTGTTTCACACACACACATACACGTGAAACAAGCTTCAACAAGCAGCACTCAACACTGATCCTAATTATCTATGATGCACTCTGATCATTTGCATTCTATTCTTTTCATTTTCGTTATTTAAAATGTTTGTAACTGCTCACAAGTCCATTGACTCCAAGACCAGTGGGTAAGACCAGCAGTTTGCAACACACAGTCCAGGCTACTGAGCCACACAGATGAGCTAGAGAGAACACCCTGTTAGCCACACCTTGTAGACTGCAGGGAAAGCAGGCTGGAGGGCAAGTTGGGGGCCAGGGCCATCTCTCAGACCCTGCCTGACCAGAGATGCTCGGTCACTCACCTGAAGGTGGACTGAATTATGGCATATGATACATGAGACCACTGAGCTTTAAGGTAAAAATAAGATGAATTAGTGAAGGCTTCCATGTGGCAGGCATTGTTCTAAGCATTTTATGCCAATTAACACACTTAATCCTCACAATACTACTGTGCTATATGCAGTATTCTCCATCCCTGCTGTAGAGGAATTTAACCTCTAGAAAGTAGCTATTAAGTACAGATCTGGCCATCAAAGCCAGGCAGATTGACTCCAGAGCATCCAACTCTTTTAAAAAACCCAAAACTACATCCCCTTTCTCCTTGTCCACGACATTCTTGGACTCTTACTCCTGGGTCGCTTTGCCATCTTTTCAAGCGTAACACCCAGTGCTGAGCTTAGGCTCTGGGCAGAATTCCACCCGGGACTTAGGTGAGAGCTTAAGGTTGGGCAGGGTCACCGACCCAGGTGTCATTCCATCAGGCCCGCAACACCCAGCCGTGGACTGAACCCCTTGGTGCCAGGTCAGGGCTGGAGCAGCCCTCCAAACCATCCTGTGCATACAGAAGGGACACAGGTGTGCCCCGCTCCGGGTCCTCCACTTCTGTCTTTGTCAGAGATTGCCTTTCTGAGTAAGTTTATACTTGAACAAAACTAAATGAGCAAAATTATTCTGGGGGAGATAAGAGAAAAATGTAAGGAGTTAGTATCCTTTTGGAAAATAATTCATTGAATGTATTTTTATTGCTATAAAATATACATAATGAGCTGGGTTTGGTGGCGCACACCTGTAATCCCAGCTCTGAAGAGGCTGAGGCAGAAGAATCGCCATGAGTTGGAGGCTGTCCTGGATTACATAGTGAGATTCTGTTTCAAAAAACAAAAAATAGGACCGAGGATTTGGCTCAGTGGTTCTGCCACCTACCTCATAATTGCAAGGGCCTGAGTTTGATCCCTGGTACCAAAAAATAAACTGCACATAAGGTAAACTTTACCACTGATAACATTTAGTACATTGACAATGTTGTATAATATTTACCATTATCTAGGCCAGGACATTTTCATCACCCTCCTTAATAGAAATTTCATACCCATGAAGCAGTGACTCCCCATTACCCTCTTCTCCAGCCCCTGACAGCCACTATCTACTTAGCATGTCAGTGATCTTGCCTAATAATAAATGGAATCATATAATATGTGGCCTTTTGTGTCTGGCCTCTTTCACTTAGCATAATGATTCCGAGGTCTGACCATGTTCTAGTGTATTGCAGTATTTCATTGTTTATAGCTTTCTAGGGTTGAGTAATGTTCATTTACCCATTTGTCAGGTGGATAGATATTTGAATTGTTTCTACCTTTTTGCTACACTGAATGCTGCTGCTCATGAATATCTGTGTACAGGTTTGAACATCTGTTTTCATTCTTCTGGGTACTTACCTAGGAGAGGAATGACTAAATTATATAGAAACTCTTGAGTTTATTTTTCTTTTGTTTTTGCAACAGAGTCAGGCTGGACTTTAACTCATGGCTTCCCTGAGTGCTGAGATTATAGGTGCGCACCATCCTGCACAGCCCTTGGGTTTATTTATTTATTTATTTATTTATTTATTTATTTATTTTTGGGTAACTGCTGGGCTACATCCCTGGGCCAGTAATTTTGTATTTAAATTACTGAGGAATCACTAAACAGTGCTTCACCATTTAAACTGCCACCAGCAATGTACAGGGGCTCCAGTTTCTCCATCTGCAACAGGACTTGTTATTTATGTGTAGTAGGCTAACATACTACTGCTGGGCTACATCCCTGGGCCAGTAATTTTGTATTTAAATTACTGAGGAATCACTAAACAGTGCTTCACCATTTAAACTGCCACCAGCAATGTACAGGGGCTCCAGTTTCTCCATCTGCAACAGGACTTGTTATTTATGTGTAGTAGGCTAACATACTACTGCTGGGCTACATCCCTGGGCCAGTAATTTTGTATTTAAATTACTGAGGAATCACTAAACAGTGCTTCACCATTTAAACTGCCACCAGCAATGTACAGGGGCTCCAGTGTCTCCATCTGCAACAGGACTTGTTATTTTCTTTACAAAAAACACTAGCTGAGGGGGGCAGGTGCATGCATGATCCCAGCACTCAGGAAGCTGAGGCAGATTGCTGTGAGTTCCAGGCCAGCCTGCACCACTGTCTAAAAAAAAAAAGACATAGAACTGATTTTTTTAGTGTGGCAATCCTTCACTGTGTAACATTGCTGAATAATTTTTTTTAGCTCTAATTGTCATTAATGTTTGATCCTTGTAGTCCACTGACCTCCTCCCAGCAGCATTTATTTCTTTAAGATACCAAGGGCAGGGCCATGATTTAGCTCAGTGATTCTGCTGCCTGCCTCAGAAGCGCAAGGTCTGGAGTTCATCCCCAGTACCAAAAAAATAAATAAAGTCCTGGGGCTTCTTATGGTGAGCTTAGCATGGGTCTAGCCCTGTGACTCCCAACTTTGCCCATGCAGTATGCAGGTACAAATTTCAGCAAGATCCCCCTGCAAAGACCCCTGCCCACCCCTCCTAACTCACTATTTCCCCAGTCTCATTAAATCATCCAAGTCCAGCCCCAACTCCCACCTTCACTGAGTGGGTGGCACCCAGCCCTGGTCTCCATGGCAGAGATAACTCCGCAGGAAATTAAACACTGAGAACCTTTCCCTGCCTTCCCAGCTGGAGTAGACATGGCCAAGTCCCCACCCTGCAACCTGCTGTCCTCCCCACTCCCACCTCCTCCCCTGCGGTTTGCTACAGTCTAGGTCACCGGGGCCCCAGAGCACCCTGTCTTTTGCTTTCCCAGCTCCAAAAAGCCCAGTCTCTGGCCTCTTAAAGCTGCTGCTGCTGCCCTGTGGAGGTCAGATCCTTTGCCTACAGCAAGTCTGGCAGGAAGACAGGCAAATTCTACATGCAAACTAGGATTATTTTAGCAAGTGGGGACTCCGCCTGGAATCTAGTTTCCATGCTCACCAAAGACAGCCCTCGTGGCGAAATTTGGAGAAGCTCCGGCCCAGGGAGGTGGTGGGCAGAGACTAGGGTGGGAATGCAGGCTGAGGACCAGGAAGGAAGGGCCGGCGACTGCCCCACCCGGTTGCCTAGGTGATGGAGAGGCGGGAGGAGGGAGAAGCACTGGTTGAGTTTATCCAGTATCTCAGATCTGTTTGGTGGCTCCTGCTATCACCTCCTCTCCGATCCCTGGGGCTCAGCCTCCTGGAAGGACAGGGACCGGGGCTGCAAGCCCTGCGGAGTTTCCCTCATGTTTAACACTCGTACCCCAGGGCTCTGTGGTGCAAGGAGAAATAGAATGTCAGCCCTGGAAAAGAGCTTGCCGAAACTTTGAAGTCTAGTAGTTTTCAAGCCGGTTGGTAGCAACAGATCCTTGTCTGGAAGGAATTCTGACCCAGAACCTCAATCGTGGGTGCTGCTTACCCACCCCACTTTCCCAGAATTCGACAAAACTCCATTCTGGCCCCAAACCCTGCTTGTTAATTAATGTGGGACAACCGAGGTCCCCAGATCACCACAGACAGCTCGAAGACCTCCAGCGGAGAAGTTCCTGATGGGAAAGGACCTCCTGTGACCAAGGCTGGACTAGCAGAAAGGCAGCAGTGCCCTTGAGGTTGGGGGAGGGCAGGCACGTGTCCTAGGAACCTTCAAAGCCCAGATTCCCCGGGGACATCACACCCCTAAAGTTACAGAGGAAACGGGTGGGGGGTCAGCCTGTTCTGGAGCTATATTCTGTGCGGAAGATGAATCTGAGCATTTGGCTTTTTGGCAGGCTCAAGCAGTAAATCTTCGATGAAATTCGGAGGTGCCAGATGGTGCAGGGGGTGGGGGCACCGGCCTGGGAGCCTCTTCCCGCTGTGCAAGTGACAGGCCCTGACCTTGGGAGATTTATTTAAAGAGCCAAAGGGGATCATGCCCTAATTTGTAAGAGGTCCAGAGAGTAATAGGATTAAATGGTGCTTGGGAGTGTTTTTTATTGTTTCTAAATGTCAGGGCTTCCTTAGGGGAAAGGGGAGGAAGCAGCACTGGTCTTTACAGACCAAGCTTGACAGTGGGTTTTTTAAATATCCTCATTTCCCTTTCCCATTTTTCATGGCTAATTATAAAGTGACACAGGGCCATTTTAGAAAGTGTGAGAAGTC